TCATCATTGTGACTCTGTCCTACACACCACACAGAGTTAATGTCGCCCGTATCAGAAAGAATTTTGTGGGTATCTTAGAGGATGTTGTCATATAGATACATAGTCCTAAAATCCTTTATGTAATAGCTGTGACTTATCTCGAGTTCTTCACACAAGCTTTTTAATGAATTGTATAAATAAAAAGATATTTACATCGGAATTTATAAAAATGCAGAATAACTCAAATAACAATTTTTTTATCTACGGACAGTTTGTCACACAAGCTTCCTAGTGCACATCTGAGGGTTGCAAAGTTTGTATCTCATTGGTCTACTAATTTTTTTCATCACTTGTTTCACGAGTTGATTAACTTATAGTCGCGTCGAATATTGCTATATCTTTTTTATTCTCGCGAAACCACAGGTTTGCGTGTGTATGGATTATAGTATACTGAGCTCTGCGTGTGGGTTGTATTGTGAACCTCACACATGGGACTGCCGCTCTTGTTCTCTTAACTGGCTGTCCAGGCAATCACTGACTGTCTTCTGACGCCCTCATGAGGGGTAAGCTCAAAAGGGAGTGTTCTATAGAAGGCCACAACGTCTGAGACACTCGGCACGTCCACGGGCCGGGCCGGCTGGCAGACCTATTCGCAGCTGATTGACAAACGCAGCGTCTTCATCAAATGTTGCCTCTAGTGCCTCACTGGGTAGTTCAGCCAAAGCTGCAGGGATAACCAGTAGCCCTGGATCTGAACTGTTAAGGATGGAGATGAAACCTGCAGGTTCACATGCCATGTTTTGTTGGTAGTGCAGCAATCCTTGGGGGAAGAAGGTGGACTGGTCGGTCTTCACATCGTTCAATATTAAGCGTCCGCCTTCGGTGACGAAGCCTGGCTCAGGAAATTGTAACGATAGATTATTAGATATCTATGAATCAGAGAGGAATATGAAAAAGTTGATACCCGAAAAAATTGATGAAACCCGAAAAAGAAGTGTAAATCTTGTGCGAATACTTACCAACAGTGAGTGCCCCCTCAATTATGTAGACAGACTCAGTTCCCCTGGGGTGGACGTGGGGTAGGTTAATACCGCATGGTGCGATGCGGAATCGAGTCTGGGCCATGTTGGAAGCCTGGATCACAGGGACATTGTTTCTGTTCGCAGGCTGAGATGTGCCGCCTAGTCCCGTTGACTCCAAGGGTTGGGTAGCGAAGTCGATCACAAAGTCTTCGGCGTCGAAGTTGTTCAGGAATGCGTCGAAGCCAACTTGGGCACCGATCAACCCGCTGATGGCACCTTCGACTCCTGCGACATCCCTAATGCTTTCCTTGGTTGAAGGCACAGAACCAATGCTCATGTCATACTCTGGACTGTCTGCGACTACGTGCTCTAGACTATCTGCGACTACGTTTGCCTGGCAATTCACCCATCGTTCCCCACTGCATGTGCACGTGAGTGTCGACCCCACCACGCGTTCATTGTCCAAATACACATTGCCACGGTACTTGCAGGTTTGTCGACTTGACATTGCTTCGACTGAAGTGGCGGCCAAGGCCAGGGCGATGATTGTGATTACTGTGCGTGATAGACTCATGTTTGCTGATATTGTTGAGAATATCGTGAACAGGTTATATTCGTTGGAATTGTGGAGGAAACTAATTCTAACCGATATACTTCGTTCGCTTTTATAGTGTGTCGGAAATATAGAAACGTCATGCACATCGCTTGTTTTGGGAATAGTCGAATATTTTAGCAGATTTGAGCTATATGTTATTTAACAAGGGGTTGGGTATCACATATTCCCCGGGAGACTATATTGAACTGACTTGTAGCAAAATTTTCAGCCATTCTGCGTTGAGACACGAATAGCGTAATTATTAATTATACACACCGAACTAATTTATTAAGTTACATTTAGGTCGAGCATTCGATCTGATTCGAGAATTTTACATTTGTCTTGGCTCTTCCGTATTGTTTTTAGTTTTCTGTGCAGTGCTTTATTGTTTTTCTCCAATGATATTCTGTAGTTGTAATATTTCTGTTGTAATAAAACCTAAATATTTAACTTTATTCTTCCTCGTCTCCTGGCACTTTTCGACTTTCGTCGTTGTTGGGGTTGCAAAATAAAATGCTTTACTATTATACATCAAAGTCGGTTTTGTATTGGACGTGTATTTTTTTAATAAATTGGTTGTCAGACGGCAGTCGCCAGTCGGGTCACTGGGGCGTCGGCAGACGGCAGACTCCGGGACTGGCGCACCGCGCCCTGCAGGTCTGCAGTCTGCATTCTGCAGGCTTAAAGTTTGAAAGTCTCCGACCTGTCACCTGTGAGACTTCAGTTTTTATTCTACACCTATAAAAACTAAAAAATAATATATAAAATACTCATTTGAAGCGTTGTCCGGTGATAACGAATGGTCGAGTGCCTATTGGATTAAACTTCATACCAGCTCGGCAGCTCCAATGCTCCATAGTGTATACTGTATACATCTACGATCTAGGCATATACATATGGATACTATTTATTACATACATGGTTACATGCATATGCAAAAAGCTACTTTAGCTGTGTAGTTTTAAAGTATATCTTTTAAAACAGCAACATCTATGGTGATTGAAGGCAAAGACCTGAGCTTTAAAGCCATTTCGCATAAATTCCAAAGATCAAAGTATACACAGTCCTTATGTAGCAGGTGTTGGACTTTCCAACTGGTCAGTTGGACTGGGCTGGTATCGCATGTCACAATAGAATCAGTTATTAATGTATTAAAACTGTAAATCTGGTGAAAGACACGGCATGAGATGTAGTTTACGTCACATCTTTTGTTCCAAAGACGCAGGCAACAGACATGCAATTGACGGTAAAAGAGCAGCAACAGGAAAAGGACGAAGTCACGTCGTGACGCTGAAATAGAAAGGGAATACGATACGACACTTTCACGGCGTGTTTGTCTTGTCAGAATCATAGGAAGTGTCATAACAGTTAAACACGCCATTCACGAGTCAGGGCTTAAATTTATTATACTCCAATTGAGTTTGAGTTCCAGCCGTCAGGCTACTTTCGAAATTTCCTATGAATCGGTGTTAGCACACATCACATCCATGTATCAATGATTAAGGCACACATCACATCCATCACGTCTGTATACGTTTATACCCATACATATCGAACTGAATTCCGATTAACGACCGACATATGACTATATGATGGAACTAATTGAGCACAGATTCAAGGCCTTATTGTAGTTTATACACTGTGCTAACGTTTCAGTCTCGTGGCAACTCTGCCTAGAATTGCCGCTTAAATTCATAGATACTAAACCCATGAATACTGTTCTAACTTACTATGGATGCTAAACTGGTCAAGAGTTTAAGTCGCAGCACTATTCCTGATAATTAATCTTCGGCTAGTAAATGTGGTATATCGTTGATGCAACGTGACACCACAGGAAACCCATCCTAGTGTTTTCAGTATCTCCATTAACTAATTTATCGATTACACAGAATGTTTTTGAATAAACTATCGAATCCGGAAAAGTCCTGCAAATGAGTCGATGGGATGAGTTAACGTTTCGAGAGGTGAACGTCATGTTCCGCACGATAATTATATGCTATTATTCAGTATACCAATACCTCATATTAATTCTCGGAGATTGTGTACTGAATTTTTTGCATAGCTTTTGTAAATGATGCCTAAAGGGGTTATGTGGAGACGTCAGGCAAAACTCTTGAGAGGAGAAAAGGCATATATACCATATATTGGATTATAGCTACATAATAATGGTCAGTCGCCTTGTTCTATATCTACATGTTCATCAGCCAGAAATGATAGCCGGCTATTGCGGCATATTTTGCGATATGAAGTGCTGGTAGTATTAACTTGTCGTGCACCTCTCAAACAGCTGATCTTGATAGGCGCACTGCACTTCTCGGCTTCTCCAGAATCTGTGCATTCTTTATTTATATAGCACTCATTCTTTAAATATACACGGATATCGAACATTAGCACCGTGGCTACTAAGAGACCCATATGCCGGTTGAAATAGGCACTTGCTTCGAAACAAGTAAAATGATTATGACCATATTACCATGATCATCCTAAGTAACATGCGGCCGTAGGTTTATATACTGCCGGCAATGTACCAGAACGCATTAAGTGTAACACAAACTACACAGCTTCCATCTGATCTATTATTAAACTTCCACTTTATTACTAAACTCATTCACTATCTTCATCGTCCTCCCATACAGGCAGTCCACTGACCACTTCATCCTCACCCATATCATCATCATCATCACTATCACTAGCGCCATCCGTTGCCACGACAACAGGAGCCTTCTCCTCATCTATTTGTACTCCTTCCTCGGAGCTTTCACTACTACCCACATCCTCCACACCCTCTTCCGATTCACCTTCCCCTCCAGCTCCACTCTCGTCCTCACCTTCGCTCTCATCGCTAAACACTTGCCCCGCCTTTCGTTTACCCGCAGTGCCTGTATCGTCCTGGACAGACATGGTGTCTTGCTGATCCTCTCGCAGTGACTTGCGCCGTGCCTCGTCTGTGGCCAGCCATTGCTTGTGGTATTGACTTAGTGGTGTCTGGGCGTCTTTGAAGGTTGCGACATTGAAGTTGCGCACCTGCAGGGTGTGTGTGGTGTGTATGGTCAAAGGTATGCTGCACGTACATGGCACGACGCAATACACACTCTGCTGTGTGAGTGGGTCTGATCTACTGAAAAAGTATGGAAGGGCACCCAGATACAGATATTCACAGTGATGTGTTTGCGTCTAGTGAAGCACGATACACAGTGATACACGCGGCAGGTATTCATTTACCTAATAAATAGTACACAACATCGATTCCATACCTGAGTGGCATCTGAGGGACCGAATTGTACCAAATTCCTGAGGTTGAGTATGTACGCTATGCTCTCCTCGGTCTTGTTTAGAATCTCTTTGAGTTGCCCAGCAAACTTGCGATTGGCTGATACACCTTTAGTACCCAGAGCCTTCTTAATCCGAAGTACTGCAGGCACCTGCAAGATGTAATAAGCAAGAATAGACTGGCGTTTAACTACTGTGGCCTACAACAGGCATATATATATATATATAAATATGGATAAGATATATATATTCGGTGTGGTTCACACGTATAGGGAAACCAGAAGCAGAAAGGATAGCTGACGCGGTGACATATCGTAAACGATTTTGGGCTTTACTAAACCCAAAAACCACATTAAGAGCTGATTGGTCGCAGATACTTACCGCAAACTCTGGGAAGGCCACATCGTATGAGTGTATGCTGAGATACTCAAGCAGAAGCACAGACAGCTGCTCAAGCACTCCCTGTGAACAGATGAACGAAGAGAAACATTATAATATGAGATATATTACACGAAGATGTGATGCAATGCATAAAATATATGAAATATAATACAGTATATAAGATATAATACGATATACCAGATATAAAACATTAAATAAAACATATTAAAGTATATCATACTATACAAGATACAAATCATTACTACGGAAGTAATAAAAATTTACTATGTGAAATATAAAACAGTATATAAAATAGAATTATGAAACATTAGATAGAATTTATTATATATGATTTAACATATTACGGTCGAACGATGTTAGGTGTTTGCGGATATGCATATGAATATACCTCAAAATCGTAATCATGACTCAACGATAGGACTGTGAGAGCATTCTGATGAGAAACCATAACGAACCAAAGAGACGATCGCTGAGTGAACTTCGGGAACACTTAGGCCCATACCAACACATGCATGCATACAAATGAGGGGTATATACACACACGTATATCAAAGTACAACAACCAGGTGTACTGCACTATATACCTACAATACTGCACTATATACCTACAATACTACACTATATACATACAATACTACACTATATACATACAATACTTCACTATATACATACAATACTGCACTATATACATATAATACTACACTATATACATACAATACTACACTATATACATACAATACTACACTATATACATACAATACTACACTATATACATACAATAATACACTATATACATACAAAACTACACTATATACATACAAAACTACACTATCTAAATACAAGTACATAACGGGCTGTACTACTATACAAACATGCAAGTACAACCACCAGGTGCACTGCACTACATGACTACAATACTACACCATACGCATACAATTATATAACGGGGTGTATTATATAATACATCTACAGGTACATACGATGCCTCTCATACTACACGACATACCTACAATACTACACTATACGCATACAAGTATACAACGGGTTCTCA